TGTGTAGGGCTGAGCTGCTTAAACCATAACGCTCTGTTGTCTGAGCCTGTAAATTGTAGACTTCATAAAGTATTATTTTGTCGCTAAAGTTAAAAAAAAAGACCATTTGGGAGCATCTAAAGTTAAAACTTCATATAAAATCTAGATTTTCTTAGCGGGAAGTATTAATTTGACTTTAGATTAAATGTAAAGTCCTTAATTAATTTAAAGTTAATTAATTAATTAACTTACTAATTAGCCCCTAGGGAAGAAAAAGMAAGAAAAAATGGGGCAGTAGGTTTATAACGTCCAAGTTATGACACAAAATAGTTTGAAAAAGGATTTGCAATCAATCATTAGAGTAAGAACATTTCCTTGTTTGATGGTATTCATGTATCTTTCTTTCAGTCAACCACAGAATGGCTGGGCTTAGAAGGAACCTGTGGAAGTCAAGTAGGGCCACCTATGGCCAGTTACCCATGARCACATTCAGACAACTCCAGGGCTCTTTGAGATACTAAAATCATTAATAAGAATTACCATTTTACTTTAAAAAAAAAAAGAAAATATCCAATCATGGAGCTAAAAAGAGTTATATGAGCTAAGTGGCCACATGCTTAATGACTATTTGAAGATATTGTCATAATTTGCCAGGAAATGTAATGTTAAAATTGCTTTGAAAAATGCCTTAGACAAATAATTATATTTTAAACTACATATATATGAAAGATGAAACATAATCTATCAGATTTTAATCTAACACAACTCTAAGACACTGAATAAAGTCTACATATTTTCACATTGGTTTATGATTGCTCAAATTTACTGAAGTAGCCTTCCACAGCTTTCTTTCCAGCTTTCTTTCCAGTAAATCTCAGTAATGAGTTACTAAGTTTCCAGACTTAAAAAAATTCTAAAACTGTGAAAAATTTGTTATCTTTCTACATCATCTACAGGATTAATAGAACACACTGTGGCCACAGATATATGAATATATTCAGGGTAGGCTAAGAGTATTTTACATTCTGTTGAGTGGGTCTAGAAATCCAGATTGAATTAATGAGTTCAAATTCTTCCTCTTTGGCATGGAATTTGATTCACTRAATGTCATGTTTATTCTTGGAGAAAATGAAGTTTCATTCAGAAGTTGAAATTTATTATGTGGGGATGACAGAAGGATTGTGGGTTTTGTTTCTGTTATGTTTTTAAGCAAGTAAGACATTAAGCTGAGCTTCCGTTATTCTTTTGGAATAATAATTATAGAATAATAAAAAACATAATAGAACATGCAAATGCAAGAGACTGCCAATCCAGCAGCTTGACTGCGCTGTTGTCAAATATGAAAGATCTTCATACCAAGGACTTAGATTGAAAAATACCAGGAAAGACAAAAGGCCAGGCAGCAATGACAGACTGGCCCTTCCCTTCCACAAATACACTCACAGCAGATGCTGYAGCAGCAGAAAGAAGGAAAAGGAGGTACCTGTTTCAGTGGAACACCAGAGACACAGCATCCAAGAAAGAGCAGCAGTCACAGGAAAAGATAACAGTTTACAGTAGATTTTAAAAAACAAGTAACTTGGTAGACAGTTGTGATTTTACTCTGATACTGTTAAACCAGAACAAGCAAATGAAGTAAAATTCCCCTGTGATCTGCTGGATACAAGCTGCTGAAGATTATCATTATTATATTTATTTGCTATATCATCCTAAGGCAGCCAAGAAAGACAAATTATTCCACTACATTGTCACACAATGACAGAACAACTCCACTAACTTCTGTGTTTATCAAATTTCAGAGCTGAGTAGACCATGCTTTTACAACCACCATTTCATCAACAAAAAAACATGGGCCTCCAAGTATATGAAAGTAGGTTTCTTCAACTGAACACCATGACAAACCTACATTGTTCCAACATAATGTTCCAAACCTGCTCAGTACACCCATCTCCAGCAGCACAGCCTCTAGCACACACCGGGACAGATGTGAGACTGACTGCTGTTCTGCAGTCTACCTGTGTTAACAGAAAAACTGCATTTGATAGCATTTAATTGCATTTAATTGCATTTAATTGTCAGGGACTGCATTTAAATTCACTGTATTGAAATCTGGGACTCAGTCAAGTGGTCTGTGAATAAACTTATGTGTCCTGACACAAAGAGGCAGTCAGGTTAGGTGATGTGATAGTCCCATCTGGCTGTAAACTACACAGCCTAAGACTTGAGCATTCCCATTAAACTCTTAGCATTACAAACACTGGCTTGCTTCACATTTTTTGGCACTAGAGGAAAACATAAGAACCGCTAAGAATGTATGTTGCTTAACTTGAGCAACAGCCATCATTAGTCCAAAGCCTTTCAGACAATGCTTGGAACTTGCAGTTTTATGTGATGTTGCATCATGCAYCACACAACAGATTCCATGTGTTGTGCTGTGAAAACCTGGAGAACAACATCATTGTGGAATTAGAACTGGGAAACAGCCACGAAAATTGCTTGCATTTTGTGAAATGGGCAGAATAGAATTAACACTAATGTTGCTTCAGACATAAGGCTTATACATCCCAAACAGAGTGACTGACATTCCATAAAATGCATTACCACTATCATTTAACCTATWTTTAACCACAGTCATTTAATTATCTTCAGATAATAATAATCTTTGCTTCTTCAGATTATTAAAATATCTTTTATTTTTAAATAACTAAAATATAAAAAGCTGTTAAAAAGACATTGCCTTTATATTTCAAACATTACCATGCTATATAGCAGTTGGGAGTTTTTATTTGGCAAAGCACCAGACAGTTATGCAAAACAGCTTGGAGAGCTTTACAGAAAATAAAAATGCCATATGCTACAACTTGTTGCAATTCCTGGTCTAAGGCATTAATAAGTCTTCACTTTGATATCTCACCTGCATTATTTTTCTCTAAGAATAACCAAGAGAACTATTCAATCAAAATCAAGTATTGCCATAATTRTTATTAAAGAAATCTGCACAGTCACAAAACTGGGTGATTCTGCAGTGTGCCCTAATGCGGACAGAATTTGTATATTCACAGCTTTAATTTTCTGAAGGAGTAAAATGAAGTTGTTCCCATTGAGAATTCTAGCAGGAAAGTGCTCTGTAATTTTTTTTAAAAGTAAAAAGGAGGAGTTTTAACATTATTTGAGTTACGTCTAATTTACCTGTACCCTCAATGGTGACTAGAAAGAGGTTAGTAAAAACACCAATGGTATCAACCTCACATTCAGACATTCTTGTTATAAGTCAAAGAAATAATGTATGAAGGGCAGAAATGCCAACAGATGAAGTTCATGGCTTYAGATCAGATTTCACAGTGGCATGAAACTCCAATATTTCAGTCTTTATAYAGAAAATGTCACCCCCCATGACTTTTCCCTTCAATCCCTATGAAATGTTAACAAAAGAATGAAATAACTATATTACTCATATTACTCCTTTTGGAAATCAGTTCTGGTAGCACTTTRTAATCTTTGTTTTTCTTACAGCCCTTCAAAGCTAACGTACTGTATTTTTGGCAGTACCACTTCAGAAAAACTTGGGGAATAGCTAAGAAAATCTGAAAAAGCTTCAGGTGATGGACAAAATTAGGCAATACGAAAGGAAAGACACTAGTCTGGTTTTCTGAAGTACCACAAGAAAGAATTWGAAATTAGTATTGGAGTTAAATTGAAGTTGCAGACTTCAGATTTGAGCTGGAATTTCCCACTTCCCTTCACTCAAATACCTGTCACTACTACAAAGATCTTGTAGAAAATTTGATTTGTAGAATATCTCACCCTGTTAGAAAATGGATTAGTGAGATGTAAGAATCATTTTTGTCTCTTACATTTCTTAAAAGTGTAGGATTGATAACATCTGCTAGCAAGCATCAGTGAAGAAACAGGAAAGTATAGGTTTCTATTCATGCTAATTTCAGTTTAGGCACACCTCTGAAAAAGGGGAGGAAATCAAGCACAGCATCAGCAGCCAGGCAAGRGAAGGGATTGTCCTGCTGCGCTCTGCACTGGTATCTTCTGTTTCTGAAGGCATCAAAGGAGTTAAGCTTTATTAGGATGCCATATAAAGCTTAAGAATAAAGATGATGCCAATATTATTTAGATACAATAAACTAGATAGAAGACATAAAACTGTGTGTTAGAATAGCAGGCAGTCCATTTACAGGTGGTCTTGAATTCAGGGCATCTGTTAGAACTGATGCCAAGTATCCCTGCAGTGCAAGACAGCAGAGGGTGGGTTCAGTGCAGACCCTCTAACCCAGGGTTTTTATGCTCCTGTGTATTTTGGGAAAGGCACAAAGAAYACGCATGTCAGTAGGTGCCGTGGTGAAAGGCAAACAGAAAAGACACTTCTTAATTCCRACACTGACAAGACATATCCTTATATACCATCAGATTTGCCTCTTCCTAGTAGGAAACAGCTGTAAATATCAGAGCAAACTAACCTGCTTTTAATCCAACAGTTATATTTTGCATTAACTATTATGCAATTCAGTGTGCATGCTATAAGAAATACATATGAAGGATATTTCTTTTCCAGACTTCCACACAGAAAGCTCTCTCTTTTATAATTTGTTGTTCAGACATGCCCAAGTCACGTATATCACTTGTCCAACTCACAGTATTTATCGCAGAATGCAAATAAGTCAAGATAATTTTTCCTGTTTCCTAAGTCTGCTTTAATTCTTTAGGAAGAAACAAGAGTATTGCAGCACCAAGCAATTCTGAGCCTCAGCAATAACTGCAAGTTCAAGTACTGAGACTTGGCAAAATACTCTTTAAATAACAATCTTGCAATGTTTATAAAGTGGTGAAAGAGTCTAGGTTTTAGTGAAATTCTTTTCCTGCCATAGTTCACGAAATTTCATTCTCTCTTTTCTCTGTGAACCATTTCCACACTAGGTCTAACACTGCAATGATCAATGATAATTCACATCTAACTCCATCACTCCCATTGTCCTAAGAAATGCATCAAAGCTACAAACTACTGACCTTACCCTAAACCCATCTGATTGCAGGCCAGCTGGCTTAAGTTTTCTTGCCACTCATCAGCACAAACATGGTTAGCAGCAGCTGACCTGTGAATGGTCAGGAACATCAAGGAATTTGTGTTTTTAGACAGAGTAACTGGAAAGAAAAAAAAAGAGAAAAGTTCAATGTTATTTCAAATAGTTTTATAAATGGCAAATTGAAAACATACAACTACATTCAAGTTTTCCAAGTTGCTGGCACTTTTCCTAGTTTTACTGGATGAACAGCTATGTAATTTAAAAGCGAGGCAAGTGCAGCTAACAAAACCACGCTAAGATTGAACAGCATGAAACACTGAACAGCAAAGGCACCTTGAGGGTAATAATAAACCTGAATACTTCTAATTCACCAGCACAGATTCATAGGGGTTGCTGATAGCCTCAGTTTTTATAGCCTTGTCATGGTTT